CCCAGGGTCCTGGGATCGAGCCCCGCATCGGGCTCCCTGCTCAGCGGGGAGCCTGCTTCTCCCTCTCCCTCTGCCTGCCTCTCTGCCTACTTGTTCTGTCAAATAAATAAATAAAATCTTTTTAAAAAAAAAAAACACTTAAAAAAAAACTGTCAAACTATGGACTCCTAGGATTCTCAGAAGAGAAGGTGGGGATACATCTAAAGGTATGGATCAACTACAAACTTACTGAGCCAATTACAATCAAGAGGTAATACTTATGGGGTGCTTACAATGGCAGAGGGAAAATATCCCACACAGAGCCTTAAAGGGTTAGGTAATGAGAAACCAAGGTGGGCTAGTAAAAAATTTAAGTTCTTGGGTTCCTAAAGAAGGGAAGTACCTTGCTTTTTGCAAAGATTTCTATACTCATTATAGGGTTTGAGGGTAGAAGCCAGACAAATTTAAAAAGGGTTATGAATGGTGCTGGTACAAATAAACATCAAATGCAAAATTTTAAGACATGCTGGAATTCTGGAAAATGACTGTAAGACTAGTTTCCAGAATCAACTGTCTCCGAGTTGACAGATTTTCAATTTGATACTCCAGGTTGCATCCTTTCCCTATGGGAAGAACCAGCAGGAGAATGGAATCAAGCGAGGTTTTTCTGTCCTTCCCCCCACCACCACCCTTTAGAAGTTTTTCACTACTGCCATCTTTAACCAACCATCCTCTTTTCAGTTAAAAAGTATATACTTTACAGATTTATATGTGTTTTTTAAATTCTAAGTCCAGTAGAAACAAAGTATTTTAAATTTCACTATATATGAACATTGATATTAAAAAAATTTTTTTAAATATAATATTCTCAGAGCCACCTAAGTTGTAGTTGTGCTGAGTTAACACCACCAAGTTTAAAGTACATTTTAATGAACACACGGTAGTCATATACAAATGCTTTCACAGGTAAACATTCTGGAATCAACTTATCTATGAATCAAATGCTGTAAGAATACTTCAGAGCAATACAGTCCAAAAACAATATTCCAGGAACTGTGAAAATCATGTGGCCTTCAAGCAACATGAAAAAAGAAAAGGTTAAATGGCCATAGCAGTATATATGTGCATATGAGAATATTCAGGTAGTTCTAGGGTTTTTATCTGTATTATACTATTTCACAGCAGTTGGTCTATTATTTCCTATCAAAATTGCTTGCTCTTAATCACAATTGCTCAGTTTTTCAAATGAACTGAAGATTGCTAACTATGCTGCAATGAGCCACTACCAAACCAATTATAGTTAGTAAAGAAATGAGCTGTGACACTCCAGAATCTCTTTTGCCTCTGACTTTCTCAATAAATGTATCTCTTATTTGCATAACACTGCCATCATGATCTGAGCTTAATATACCAGCTCTCTTTAAAACAGGTATTTTTAAGTACAACTTAGAAATAGTATGTGGTAATAAATTAAATATGATAGTTACTAGCTAATAGTTAACGCTTTATCAAATATGATTTTGATCATTTTGAAGATAACTCTTGAAGCACCATACTTAGAAATGAATCCTGTGTATGTCGAATTTTCCCGTAACACCAACCTGATGTTTCTGCTGCTGCTGTTTACTCGTGTTCCTCATGTACGTGTTATATTTAACTATATCTTGGCTCATTTCATCCACTCTGTCCATCAGCAACTGTAGATTCTTCCCCAAATGGTTGCTGAAATGTAAATATACTGACATGTCATACTTTAAAGCCAGAGGTCTGCCACTGCTCTAAACACTTCTGAGATATTAAATTGATTTGCCATTTGCTATAAGAATGAGAGCACACAACCGCATAAAAGCAAGGGGACAGCAAAGCATCTGAGTCAGCTTGTTATTAAACTTTCCATACTGAACCCACACCTGTAACCACCAGAGTATCTGAAATAGCTCAGTTTCTTATTATCAGAGCATACATGTATCAGAGTAGGAGCTGTTAAACGTATCTAGCAGGTTATCTATAATGTATATTTTCTGAACAACCAAGTTTAACCTAAGCTCAGTACTCCTGCACCCTTTTCTTAGGCCACTTAGCACCGCCCCCTCCCCAACTGTGCTCCAGAGCATTTAAATCAGGAGCCATGGAAAGGAGGAACCAGACACTAAGACTTCTGGTACATGATTCCTCTATCCAGCAGGTTCTAAAAGAACAACAACAGCATTTATTCTGCAAAGCCAAATGAAGAAAAAAAGAGGGCTCCTTCCCTCTTGCCCTTCCTAGAATCCATAGTACATTGACACTTCTTTTCCTCTCCAGAAATTTCTATTGCAACTCATTTACCAAAATCATCTTATAAAGGGATGCTCACGGTTAGTACAATCACCACCATATTCATTGATTTCTGCCTGCAACTATCTCTTACCATGGTAAAGCCTGCTACTACATACATATACTCTAAAAATACCTAGTTAACAGATAGTATTCACTCATTCATTTCAAACAAGTATTAAGCACCTATTACATTCTGACTTTAGTGTTAGCAAAGAGAGAAGCGATAATGAATGAGACATTCATGGTCTCTATTTTCACTGAGCTTACAAATGATTGGGAGTAGGGAGGAGAAAAAAGGCAGAAACACTTTAGATAGTATGGTTGCCCTATCTCTTTCCCTTATGGAGAGGACAGGCTGAAAGCAAATGATTAGAAGGAATCAGCCAAGCAAAAAAGTATTCTAAGCAGAAGACAGCACTAGCGCTGAATGCCTGAGATGGGCAAGTACTAGGCAGATAAAAAGAAGAGGTCCGGTATGGCTGGAGCACAGTGACAGGTTACAGAGGTCAGACAAACACAGATGGGAAGCCATTAGCTGCACCACAAAACACCCCAACAACAGTTAGTGTGAACGAGACTCCTCAACTCCAACTTAAATGGTGCCCTTGAGTTGTATGTGTTTATGATATATTTTGTCTTAAATTTTAAAATGACCACTCTGGCTGCTATGCAGAGAACAGACTGGAGAGTAGAAACCAGGAGATGAGTAAAGAGTCTACTGTGGAGTGCTGGCAAGGATGTAGAGAAATCGGACACCCATACACTGTGCTGGGAGGCAAAATAATGGTCAAGATGGTAGATTTTATGTTACGTAAATTTTATCTCTACTTTAAAAACTACACACAAAAGCACACAGAATCTACTGTGGTATTACAAAGAGAACAGTGGTGGCTTGGACGAGGATGGTGGCAGTAAGCATGGGAAAGCATGAGAAAAATGGGCAGAAGTGAGAGAGAAATCAAGGGTGACTCTCAGTTTCCTGGCTTGAGCAGCCAAATGTTGGTTTATGGCATTTACAGAGAAGGGGCAGGCTGAGGAAGGAACAGACTGGGAATGTTGGGAATAAATGAAAGTAAATTCAGTTACAATATGGATCCTAAATGGACTGTATCTATAACCTGGAGAAAATTAGCAAGTTTTGGCTCTTTCTTAAATAGCAGAAAAAAGCACAGAACTGGTGTGTGTGTGTGTGTGTGTGTGTGTGTGTAAATAAATGTACCATCTAATCCCAGGTCTGGCACTATCTACATAACCTTGGCCCAGTGACTTGGCCTAATGACTTAATCTTTTTTTCAAATGTTTCAGTTTTTTGAAAAAGGGCTTTTTTCAAATTAAGTTTTCATATTTTTCTTATTCCATTTTAATTTTGTGAATCATTTTTTAACTTTAAAATATTTCTTTTTCTTTGGAAACGAGATTAAGTATTTGTTCCTGTTTTCTTCTAATTTCTTAACAGCTTGATTTTAACTTACCTCTAATTAAGTGTCTGGGCCTATGGTGAAAGGTGAGTGAATAAAATGATTTGCTCTACCAAGTAGCTAGTCAAATGTCCAGATCCACTGATTATATAGCCACATTGTGTTCTAAACAACTTCAAGGTTAAAATTTAACAATACTCTGTCACCTAAATGCACTCTTTCAATACATTCTAATGAGTACATATGTACTCTGCTAGTCACTTTGTCGGACACTGAGGCTTAAAATCTGTAAGACACTGCTGCACTCCACCCATCCTAATGAGAAGACAGGAATGCACCCAGATAAACACAGCACAATGGTGTCATCGTTCTAACAGAATGGAAGCATAAAAGATAGTATGGCAGAACCAGATGAGAGTTTCCAGATTCTCTGACAGCTGAAGTTAAGAGTTTTTGAAGAGGAGTTGGAGACAAGGAAGGTGGGAAGGACACTGACAGACACTGGGTGAAGGCAGTGTGTTCAGACACTCTGGCATGAAAAGCATAATGCCTTTGAAGAACTGCACAGAAGGGCAGGACTGGGAAAAAAGAGAGCAGTGAAACTAAGAGGCAGACAACAGTCACAGCACAGAGAGTCTTGGAAGCCAGGACTAGAAGTCTGGATTCTATTCTAAGGCCAATGGGGAACCAGCCAAAAAGTTAAGCAAAGGAGTAATATGATCATACAATTTGCATTTAGCAAGATCACTACAACGAAAGAGGAAAAGGTTAAAAGCAGGAAGTTAGGAGACTGCGAAAGTAATCAGGAATAGAAATAATGAGGCCCTGGTCTAAGGTAGCAAAAGACACAGAAATAAGATGAAATCACGCCAGGAATGTACACACGAGAAGACAGACCCTGAGGAACACTGATCTTTAGGGATGAGCAAAGAGGGATCACCATGGAGAATGAGAAGGGACCTCACAGCGTTGCAGGTGCACAGACTCCAAAAAAAGGTATTTCAGGAAGAAGGGGTCATCAACATATTAAATGTTTAAGTGTCTACAACACCCAGTAACATGGTGATAAAGTCGTCCTTTATGACTTTAGTGAGAGCTCTGACAACACAGAATAGGTGGAACACTAAGAAGTCTGACTACAAAAACAGATGAATGCAAGGTGCCTGGGGGGCTCAGTCAGTTAACCACCCAACTCGATTTCGGCTCAGGTCATGATCTCAGGGTTGTGAGAATGAGCCCTGCATCAGGCTCCACCCTCAGCATGGAGTCTGCTTAAGACTCTCTCTCCTTCTCCCTCTGCTCCATCCCCCCCACCCCATACCCGATCGTGTGCACTCTCTCTCTCAAATAAATGAATGAATCTTTAAAAAAACAAAACAAAACAGGTGAATATGAACCAAAAGGTGAAAGGAAATGGATAATAATGGCATGAGGTCAAAAAGTGCTTTTTTTGTAACTTTGTTTTTTAAGATGAGGGAGACTTGAATTTAAACATCCTTATTCTTGGAAGATGTATGTTCAAATATTTAGGGGTTAAAAGTTATGTCAGGAATTTACTTTCAAATGGTTCAGAAAAAAAAAGTTATGCATTTATGTATATAGATAGCAGGTATAAATGTGGCAAGACAGACCACTGGTGAATCTAGGCAAAAGGTTTATGTGTGTTCATCAGATTGTTTTCTTTCAGTTTTTCTGAGGAGTTGAACATTTTCCGTTTTTTTTTTAATGGGAGAAACAAGTCAAGAAACCTAATAGAAAAGAACCAGTACGGAAAGTAACTGAAGATATCTGAGGAAAGAGAGTGTAGAAGAACCCAGTCAGATCCCGAGAAGGCAGGATGGACAGGAATGGAGCACCAACCCTCTCATTTCTATCAGTGGGAGAACTGAGGCCCAGAGAGCTAAGCAAGAAATGCTATCATTACTATGCAATTAGTTGTTAAATAAGTCATTTATATGCTGAAGTGCAAAAGGAATTCAGAGAAGAGAAAGATCACCACAAACCCTACCCCTGGGCGATGGGCAGGAGGATAGTGACACTGGAGAAAATCATAAAGGAGAGTTACTGCCATATGCAGAGACAGATCCATTATTTGTTCCTACACCTTAAATCCTGGAGTCTGACTACACTAATTATAGCAATGAGAAAGGTGCTACTAGAAGAGACCCTCTCGATCTACACCAAAAAATGTCTTTAATATAAAGTAATATTGCTAAATATATGTAATTAGCGAAAGAACACAAGCATAGATATGTGGCCTTTAAACGTTTCATAACATTTTTATCACTACAATGTTCTTCAAAATATATCCAATAAGGAACCCTCAAAAATCTGTACAACAGATCTTGAACGGCAAAAGGAATTAAAATAATACCTATTTCAGATAACATTCACAGGAAATCAGGTCCATTACCAAGAGCAGCTTTATGGGGATCTTTTCAGTACCCATTCAACTAGAATACTGAACCAGGGAGTTATTGTTAGGAGTTTCAATAATACAGCCTTTTCTTTTATTGTCAAGGAAACAAAGAACTGAAAAACAGCTCACTTCAACAGATGTGAACCAAGACACGCAGTGAGAAGTCTGCTCTGGCTGCAGACTTAATGTATAAGGCCCACCCTTAGTTTACTTGTTTAAAGAGGAAATAAAAACAGAATTGTTTCTTCATGTGTGAAAAGCTGAAGGCTTGGGTAACACATTTGTAAACATTAATAAAGGCTGTTATGAAACAGCCATTGCTAGAACTTCCAGCCAATAAAATTAAAACTAAAAATTAAAAAAATTATTTAAATGAAAGGAAATGTAGTATGCTTTATTCACAGCCTAGAACAAATATATCAGGTAAACCAAAAAGTGTATCCACATACGGGCTGTGAAAAGCAAGACCAAGCAAAATTTGAGGAGCTTCTTGGGCATGATTTCTGATGTGGTTTCTTAGAAAAAAATTTATGGCGACAGGCCTGACTACCATCATGCCATTGATGTAAGAAATTAAAATTTGAAGGGCGCCTGGGTGGCTCAGTCGGTTAAGCGTCTGACTCTTGATTTCGGCTCAGGTCATGATCTCAGGGTCGTGAGACGGAGCCCCGCGTCAGGCTCCACACTCAGTGGGGAGTCTGCCTGAGACTCTCTCTCTCCCTCTCCCACTCAGCCCCTCCCCTCCTGCCCCTCCCCCCACTTGCATGCTCGCCCTCTCTCTCTCTCTCTCAAGCAAATAAATCTTAAAAATAAACTGAAATTTGAGATGTACAGTCTTTTAAAACAGGACTATCAGTCTGGATGACTGTAACAACCCATCAGCATAGGCGCTGCTTCAGGGTTGCTTCATTTTTTTCCTTCCAACAGCAACACAAATTTACCTTTTAAATAATTTCACATGAAAAGGAAAGGGCCCCTCTTTCTATTTCACATAAGATACAGAAGATAGAAACAGTAATAAAATATTTGTCTAGATCTTAGTTGCTATGGCAAACTGGGAACATTTTCTTGGCTATTATAAATGCTGTTTTGGACAAACAGACATTATGGACCAGCTCACTGGTAATTTAAAGCACAAAAGGGCTGTATTTGTTTTGTATGCTCAATAAGCTTGGGAAAAGGTGAAGGCATATATTATATAAGCAAACACTTCCATGTAGTAAATTTAAAATTATTGTATAACTACATATACTCAATACATCAAATTGTAACCCTGCATGCTAAAGAATGTTCTTAGTGCAATGCTTTAAATACAGGTGTGCTCAGTGTGTTTGTAAAAGCAATGAAGAATTAAGTATGACCTTCTAAAAGAGACAAATTAAAGGACTATTATGAATATATGTTTGCAGTCAACAGTGCACTCTTCAGTGCCAAATTAGCCTTGAAAGCTGGCTGTATCACTTAGCACTCCGTTTACCATGCAGTTTCCATCTCCTTCCTCTGTACATACTTTCTCGTGGCCCCTATGATGGATTCATGCAATACAAAGTGTCACTTCAAGTACGGTCCTATCCAGCCCAGAGCATGGAGAACAATACTGGGCTCTCAGGTCCTCCTGGGTTTACCCTACTTGTCTTCTAACAAACAAGTACAAAGTCTGTATGTTCTTTTGCACAAGCTTCTATCTGGGATTAGAGAAATCTGATAAACTGAGCCTCCATTCCAAACTGGTTGCTTAAGAAAACATACCTTGTTTTTTTCAGTCATCCAACAAATGCATACAGACTGACTACCTACTCTGTCTATTTAATTTCATTCTACAGGCCTGCTGCTAGCATTCTCCCACCACAAAACAATCAAGCTTAAAGGGCACTTAAGAGGAGCTATATAGACGATTCTGCCTATATTTCTGTTAAGAGCAATAAATGCTAGGAAAAGAAACATTAATTCCATAAAGGAAATAATCTGTTTGGAACACCTCAGTCAGCACTTTACCAATACAATAAATAATATGTAGCAACTAGGTAGCTAAAGCAGTCACAATGGAGGAAGTTATGTCACTACAGTCTAAGACAGAAAAAGCAGTGTCAGGTTCAGAAAATCCTAATTTTACTTGAAAATCCACACTGGAAATTCACTACTAATAGAGTCTGCATCTGAACAAGGGCAAGTGCCACCAGTAAAACGAAGAAGCATTTTCGTATTTTTCCTGAGCATTATTAAATATCCCGACATAATACCATAGGCCTCCAAGGACAGTGTACAATAAATAAAGCTAAGCTCCCCCCCCCGCCAAAAAACCCTCCCCCATGGGCATTTACCCCGTATCAAAAGCAAAAATGATACAGCAAAGGCATCAGAGGGTTCTTATAACAGGAATTATTAGTATTCAAACACTTTCATTTTATCAGTTTGGCTTTTTTCCTGGGATCTTAGCAGGGCTGGACAAATACTACATATCATTACATATGTCTCAAGAACCTCAAAATATGCTTGGATAATTTTTCTCTGGATCCATGGGTTAAATTCTAAGTGAAAGAATCTTTTGCAGAAAGTGATTAAAAAAGGACTTTTCATTAGACAGGGTCACTTACCTACTAGCAAGACTGAGCAATTCATGTTTATCTGCTACAGCTGACTTCTTCTCAAGCTCCCACATTAGGACGTTGATCAGATGTGAATTTTTAATTACAATCGGCACTTCTTCAAACATGTGCTCAAAGGTGATATTTCCCTTTTTCAATCTGTGAAGCATGTTAAAAAATACTTTAGTCTCGTGGTCAGAAGTAAGTGTTAAATTGACTATTTCATACATTTTCCCTAATTACAGGCCCTCTCCAGGATCTTTGTTTCATTAGGACTCTTTAAAAAAGAGAAACTAGTTTTACAGAGTCAAGCATAAGTCGAATGATTTGAATAACACTGAAAACAATCCAAGTTTGAGCTATAAAGCCCAGAAAAAAAGATTCTTGGCAGAAGAAACTATTCTTTCTTTGTAATCAGGTATCTTCAAAATTTCATTGATACTAAAATGTAAATGTCATGGGTAGTTATGCTATATAATCTGTATCTAAAACATTTAAAATAAATAGCTAGAACAGAGAAATACTTCAGTTCTTGGAAAGTTCATTTTAAAAGCCTACCAAACTAAAGAAACTAAACAACTAGCAGAACACTCACAGGATATCCTATACACAACGGTTCAGAACACAGCAAGAATGCAATTTCTCATTAATTTAGTTGTAACTATCATACCCAGGAATTGTTCATGAGTTAGCTTTTAAAACGTTTTGCACCTTAATTTCTTTAGAAGCTATTGGGAAACTAGCAAAGAACTGTCCTACATGAAATCAAAGCCACTAATTTCAATTTAATAAGAAATCAAAACTCCCAAAGTTAACAGAAAATGAAAGAATTCTGAATTTTAAAAAATTTTAATGTAAATATTCCAATGCCATTATGTAAGATCATAAAACAGCTTTACCGATTAAGTCTGTGCATATCTATCACCCATAAAATTTCCAAAATGCCACATTCCTTACTGATACCTTAAAATGTTTATGTCTTTCCCATCCCCACCCCCCATGAAACAGGCGCGCAGAAAGTAAGACATACAGCTCACAATCATCCTGATACAGAGCTCACAGTCTGACAGCTGCCGGTCACTCATCCCACCTCCCTTTATTTAATCATTTATTTCTTCAAATTCAGTAGCTAATTAATTCCCACTCCAACCGAATTCACCCACAGTGAGAACAACAGATGAGACATTCCATAAAGAACAGTTTCAACATGGAAAGGGAGAAATCAAGGGGCACTCGGCCATGCAAAGACTTCTACCATCCACATGGCAAAAGCATTACCACGGCACCACTACCAAGGATTCAACAAATGTGGCAAACTAAAATCTTAAAAGGAAAACAGCCAATGCCTTACCATACACCTCACAGGCCCCCAAACACTTACGCTTCAGGAGAAAAATCCTTCTCTTTACAAACTTCCATCAGTTTAGGAGTCAGTCTGTATGCTTTCAGCGAGAGAGACCCTTGGGCAGTTTTTATGGGATCTCAGGGAAAAGAGAAAGAAATTACTAACAATTTCGTTACTGACAATGCTTTGCCTGAATGACACTGGTTCTAGGCACACTGTTACTTACCACACGATATTTACAAAATGAAGATCAAAATAAAAGATCAGAACTCAATCTGAAGCAGATTAAAACCAGTATAGCGAATAGTTAAGTGAAAATGTAGGAACCTTATCATCCTACTTGGAATTGGTAGAGTAACTTCCTCCCAACGTTTTAAAAACAGAAGATTCAAAATGCAGTTATTTTCAAATCTATTCATCAGCTTGAACCAGAAATCTTGATGAAAATTAAACATCTCATATGTTCTATACACCTTATATTCATCTTGTATAATTAGAAGAAAAATACTAATGAATATTAAATGTGAAAATACACTGCATGCATTTGTGTAGTTCAGTCGAGTAATTTAAATGAATAGCCCTGTGAACAAAATTTATCCATCCTAATAGTCACTGTCCAAATTTTTTAGTTAAAACAGATTCTAAAAATGAAATGACTAAAAAGTGCTATCACAAAAGTGTCTTTTTAGTTCCAGAGAAACTCATTTTGTCAAAACTAGCTGCTTACACACTCCATGAGTAAGGGAGCTTAGCACTTGCTGCATGATAACGGCTCCGGCATGCCAATATTCGCCTAAAACCTGTGTTAACATTCATGTTGTCTGAAACTTAACACAGTGAAACTTTTAGCAATAGGTGATAAAATGAAAACCAAAATAGATTGAAACAAGTGGAAAATTCATCAAGGTCTGATGATGCAATGTTTCCAGCCAATATAAGTACACTTTAACAACTTGTTCTTTACTGTAATCCAATTGTTAACATACTGAAACAATTTTGGGGCAGCTCATAAGATTGATCGTATTCATTAGTATTTTTTCTGACAGATACTCAGGACGTTACATTTACTTCTCAGCTGGAAACTATATGCAAGTCTGCCAGATATGGCAAACTGTGAGTGTTTGGGGAGGGGGAAGGCTATAAAGCTGTTAAATTGCCTACAGTTCTGATACAGCACAGAACATCTGGTCTGGAGAGCTTGAGGAAACACCATTAAATAGGCCGAAAAGAAAAAAATCTTTGTGCTAAGAAACAGTCCAGGTTTTGTACGCTGCTGTCAGAGGTATAAAAAAAACTTGGCACGCTGTGTTATGATTGGTCAGTCACGTACAGAGCCAGACACTCTAGCAATTGGGGTTTGTTAGACATCTGGTCTAGTTCCACCAGCCCCTTCAAATGAGGGAGGGGAGATGGAGGAATAAAAATGAAGCAGCTACTCCAGCATTCCAAAATGTACACATCAGGGCTCTGATAGCAAGAAAAATAAACAGAAAGAAGGAAACCCTGTCTAGACTTAGCTGCTGCTGAGGCTGCTGCAGAAACAGGGTTGGTATTTACTTGAGAAGGCCTGCCAGGCTGCTCTTAGAGGCAAAAAGACAGAAAGCAAAAATAGTAGTAATAACATTAAGGGAAGAAAAGAATAATAAAGGAAACTCCTACTAACCGTAAATGAGAACGACAGATTCTTCAATGGCATGCTGGTAACTGAACTGAGAATCCAGGAGTGCTCGGGTGACGAACGAGCCATAGTACGTGGACTGGTACCAACCCACATGGAGGTGATCGATGTTGACATGGCGAAGGCTGCGCATCATTTCCATTTGATATTGGACTAGATGATAGGGAGGAGGGGGTAAAAGAAAAACTATTTAATGATGCCACAAATAGTAAAAAACAAGCCTTTTTGGAAACCTGTTTTTACACAGCTATTTATTAGATAAAGGACACAGCACAGTTTCCAGATTTAAAATTCATTCAGTTCACCTATACCGAAAATGAATTTAAGCTTTCAAATCATTTCAAATCACTGAAGCTTTCCTTTTTTCATTAATGAAATAAGATACTGTGGAAAAGTTACTAAAAACAACAGTAATAATGCCTTGTTCTAAACAAGAAATTATTTATTAAATGTGGTTTCCACTCCCTTCTTAAAACTCTTAAAAATAGTAAATGTTTAAGAAAAAAATTGTATAATTGCTAAAATGGTTAATTTTAAGACATTTCATTTGAATTAATAAAGTGAGAATGTCTTCTTCAACACAGCTTTTAGAACTGAGAAGTTAAAATCATCAAGAAAATGAATAGGGAAACAATTAACTACCACATTATTTAAATACGAACAGAAAACAAGCTGTAGCTGATTTAAAATATAAGAATTCATTTTTGCCTTCATCTGGTGCCCCCTGCTGCATATGCTAAATTTAAAAAAAAATCTTTTTTCTTGCTTGTGTGTTCTTTTGCGTTAAGTAACAGATATTAATTTTTCATTAGAGTTATAGGTTAATCACCATGTATAGAATGAAAAGGTTGAAAGACTTTTACTTTCATCAAATTAATGACTATAATGTCTATTATTAACTTAAAGCAATATTACTAGAATAGGTGCAAACTGAGACTATAATAAATAGAAGATTTTAAAAAGCAATAGAGTCCAATAATGAATAGCAAATATGTAATACAGGAGACAATTTTATAGTCAACATAATAACCAAGTTACTTCTATTATAATGAATGTACAACTATGTGGAGTAAATATATTTGCTTACCTTGGAATCTAACCTATTTCAGTTTTAAACTTTTAATCAGGCTTTAGCAAAAGTAAAGTTATATGCCTGTCATTTCCTTGGTTATAGCACTATGGTTTAATAAAGCAAACAAGATTCAGGATCATAAAGTATAAAAGAACCTCCCTCAGATGGTCACAATCTTATTTTTTCAACGTTTGTTACTAGGCAAAGAAATTATAAATCTGCTTATTCCAAGGAAGGTTATATTTCTCATGATAAATATGGCAGCCAGCTTTTCAACTATTCAAGAATTTGGTTTTTTAGTTTTTCTTTTTATATACAATATGATGGCCTCAAGAAGAAGCAGTATAAAAATAATATGATAATCTTATATCAATTATCTTTTATCTTAAATTTTTGTCCCTCTGGCACATAACAGACCTCCTTTCCAGCTACTTTAACAGATTTGTACGTATCAACCACATAAATATGGTATAGAACCACTGCTATGGCCTCTTTCTGCTTTAAAATTCCCGCTTTTAAATTAAAATCACCCATTTGACTAATGGAATTTAATCAAATACCACAAGTAAAACAGGAGCCAGTACTATTCATTTTAAAGGAATAGGGAGAAGGAGATAGGGAGAGATTACCAAGCAATCGACGGTACAAACATGATTTTATAGGATGATTTCTTTCTGCCAATGTACAATTTAGGTGTAATATAAGCAGAAGTTAGATTCAATCTGCAACAGTAGAAAAAAAAGAAAAGACTTGGAATCTTGAGATCTAGGTTCTCATACTAGCTCTTAGATTGCTCTTAGATTTTTCCCATGGGGAATCTTGCTGTCCAGTTAATGATCCTTTTCTGATGCTCAGCCTTCCAACCTCCAGAAAGATCAGAGAGCACATCACAAGCAAAATGTTGTGACTCCACAGTGTTCATTAAATATGCTAATTAAAGTAATAATTTTTCTAAAGACTAAAGCAGAGCCTCCAGCATGCATTAATACCTAAAAAATGCATTTCTCTGGAAGAGTCTGTAATCTTACTAAGTCTCTCCCCAAATAGCCTGAATACAATAGGTTTTATAATAGCATTTTCAGGATGCAGGAGGTAAAACAAACTATATGATTAGTAGCAAACCTCCAAATTCCTTCTTCACCCAGAATCTTACCTATTTTATAGCTCCTTGGACAAGAATGAAAATGAAGTATTCCTCTCAGCTAAAAAGAGACTAAGGGATAGGAGGCTTGTCATTCTACAGGAAATACCACTGTTCCAGTGTATTTACTTCTTGAGAATTGAGAAGTAGAGAGATGAGCTTGCAAGGCTCTAATAAAAATTTATTTTTAAGGTTATAAAGAGTTTTCATATGACCTAAATATGGCAAATAAATATTAAAATATAAGGGGTAGGACCAAGACAGGTAAGTTGATAAATTGCTTCTAAAAATCTACAAGGCACTGGAATTTCACTATTACACAAAAAATACAGTCTGGGCCTATTCTATGTGAAATGTCCAAATATTCTCTATTTCGGTTTGGACTTTCCACCCCAAGTTTAAAAATTAAAAAACACAACTTAAAGAATGTCCTCTTGGAGGTGTCACACAAAGAAAGGATCTTAAAGGATTGCAAGTGCCTGGGTGGCACAGTTGGTTGACCATCCAACTCTTTGGTTTTGCTTCAAGTCGTGATCTCAGGGTCATGAGATCGAGCCCTGCACTGGGCCCCATGTCGGTCTCTATGCAGCGTTCCATGTAGGGCTCCATACTCAGCACAGAGCCTGATTAAGATTCTCTCTTCCTCTCCCTCCGCCCCTTCTGCTCATGCTCTCTCTAAAATAAATAAATAAATCTTAAAAAATAAAAGGACGGCAAGTGATCTGTGAAAAGATGAGCTTCAAAGTAAAGTTGGGGTGCACTGAGGCCCAGTCCTCAGCAGGACTATGCATATGATCCTCCAGTAAGTGCACAGTTCAAAGAGGTAAGTTTAATTCAATAACAAACAAACAAACAAAAATTTAAGTGATATGTTTTTCTATTATATACAAGCTGAGGAGCAAGAAAAACCTCAGAGCCTGCCAAGTGAATTGCTTTCTTTGCAGACTTTTCGGTCTGTGTCCTCCCTTTTAATGGTGACAAAGACATGTGACTCTCACCTCCCTTCACCCAGTGTTTCTTTTCTTCCCCCTCCAACCCAAGTTTTCAAAAAACACAAAACCAAACCCTGCAAGTATCCTCACAAATCTAAGGACAAGAAATGCACAGCAGACTATCCCAATACATCGGTCTCAAAACCACGCTCCTGGCAGCTACCACCAATCAAATGATCTGAGCTGCCACACCAGCTAACACCTATTTATTTACCCCTCCGGCCTATGGAAGACACAAGGAAAAAATCATGAAATGGTGATGTCCCAGTTAATTTTACCCAGGAAATAAGGAACGACCACTGCAGATTCTCATCTCCCAGCGAATGCCATTGCTTTTGTGGCTATGCTAGTTTCTCTCAGGAGTTATACTGGGGTGGGCACTTAAGGCACACACAAGAGACCCAATTTAGCTACAACACTAAGATAACAGGGGAGGAGAGGAAGCTCATGCTTTCTGGAAGTGGCTACGAGGATGCCTTGTCCCATCCCACAGGCTCTGGGTGAGTGGGAGGTAGAGCCGTATTTGCCTTCTCCTGCCCAGCTGAACTCACTTTACTGGGCTGGAGTTTTAACAGGAGGGCATGAAAGATGTGCCTAGGTAGAGATAAGGTTCATCCCTGTGTAGGGAGTGCCTCGTACCTCAGAACTCAAGAGAGTCACAGCAAAAGAAACAAAAGGAAAAAAAGAGAAGGAAAAGAAAAAATGAGGCTCCTTGATACAAAGTACCACAATTCCCTACTGTTGAGTTAATGCAGGTCAATGAAGTAAGAAATAAGCATTTCCTGGCATCTTTGTAGAGTTGGTCCAGGGTTAGGCACACTTTCACTTTTATTCTAAAGTTCTCATATTTAACAAAAAGAAGCCCAAAAGCAGCAATTTCAACCAATGATATTCACTTCTGAACTGATAACCAAATATTCCTGGGGGAGTTCCCAAAGATGAATAGCAAGAGGAAAACTGTTTCGGAGGGGGACTATTTTTAAATCATGGTAATATCCAACAGAAGGGCTCAGCTCAGAATTGTATAGTGAAAAGTTCAGGAAGGAACTTTTTAATTTTTAAGCATTCTTAGTCTAAAAAGCAAACACCCTACTGACTGAGGAGAAACAGTGCACAGCAAATGAATTTCAAAAACAAATTGGTAGTTTCTATTAAGCCAACTCAAATTACTAATACAAAAGCAATACTTAACATGCAACTGAGGTGGGTGCTACAAAATTTGGAAGGATTATAAAAATGAGCTGAAGTTTTATAAATCTCTTCAATCTCTACAATTGTCTTAATTGGCTAAGTCTCTCCCAAGCAAAGGAGAACCTGGTTTACAACACTGAATAACTGTTCAAGGTTTGGCACCAGTATATTCATATTCACTTTTTCCAGATATCCTCTTTGCAAAACAGTCAATTTTAAATTGCCTAGAACTAAAACTGTCTTAACTGAGGCAGGCTGCCCAATAACTATTCCTTTCAAAAATCCACCGCATTTGTTAGGCTTTCTTTTGTTTTTATCTCCAAATATGAAAACAGCTAAAATAATATGTTGTTTTATATTTAAATGCTATATCTGGAGTTACACTGGCAAGCAACAAAAAAGCTTAAGATTTGAGTTCTCCTGAAGATCACTGAGAAGGACAAGGAATTAGAAGCTTTTTAGTTCAGTAGAATAATGAACCAGCATTCTTTCTCCTTCAATTCCTCACCCTCATCTTTAAAATCATTTTTTATTATTTTAAGTGAGCCTTACCAAAATACAAGAGAAAAACAAGAACAAAGACTTGCCACAGGTGGCTAGGCTGAGATGAGCTGAAGGCAGAAAGTTAAAGCTGTAGCATAGTCCAAAACTCGAGATAATCAGTCTATCAGATTAAGGGGGGGAAAAGTGTTTTATAGATGTATTAGGGAACTTTTAAAAGACAAAGTGACCTAATGTAAATTTTAGAAATTAAAGACAATTTAAT